CTGTTCGGCTGGGCTCGCTCTCAAAGCTTCTCAACTCTGAACGGACAGTATTAATGTTATGTCCCATAGTTAAATCTTCATTCATTGACGCCAAAATTGTTCGTATTGGGCATATTAGGTTTTCACACTCCAACCCCTTTAGTAAATGTTTTTCGTTAATTAGGACAACACGTTTTGTCACTGTTTTGGGATAGCCTAGGAAAACGAGCAGGTAACGAGAGTGTTACATAACATGGTGTCTTGATGAGGTCATAAGCAAGGTTGGGTTTTAATGAAATTTGAACGATAAAGGAAGCTTTCACATTTATGTGAACGAATCGCCGACGGTCGTACGAAAGCCAGTTCTTCTTTCAATATTTGAGACAATAAGTTACTTCCCGTCGTTCTTGCACCACTTTACTTTCCACTCAAATATTTCTAAAGCCATGTGGCAACTCCTCTTCTTTCTCGCTCTCTCCAATAATGTTTAGATGCGAAAAAAACACAGCTACCCAGAATGACTAGAGTCGAAATAGCACATTTTAGTTTTCTTTTCCAGTATAACGCAGGAATTCCTAGTCAGTAGTTGGATAGTGTTGCGAACATTAATGGACATCGTGCATACGAGCAGTGTAGGAAACTGCCCCCATTTGTTTAAGTATTTGTGCCAGCCATCATATATCGTTGGCAAAAAGCGATAGAACATCGATCAAAGAGAATTTCAAAATTTACAAAGGCCTCCGCAATTGTGATAATTTCATCGTGATCACCATAGCGTCTCTGCAATATAATTTTGGTCAGCATTGTACTAAATCTTCTACGCTGTTGAATGTTATATATGTTAAGTGCTCTTGCAAGCCGTACCCATTCGAACCCTGTATTGGCTGCGGGTTCCTGGCACCTGAGTGCATCCCGCAATGTGACAACCCGAAGTGGTTTCATTATAGGAATGAGACAATCAAGGGTAAAGCTTCGATGAAGTAATAGGTAAAGTAAGCTTGTTTAGTTGTATGATTAAGCAAAGTCGGCGTACTTCGTCACAACAAACTTTACATCGCACAGCGAGAAAGCTATCCAGTTGGAAATAATGACTTATGGACCTGTTGTTGCTACATTCCGAGTTTATGACGACTTTCTCGCTTATAACAATGGAGTTTACATGGTACGAGATTTCACACTTGATTCATATTTGTACCTGATTTCAAAGCCCGTCGTTTTGACTGGTTAATGATGTTTCAAAGGTCTTATACACAAGTAAGACATACAAATTGGGTTCAACTATAACTAAACAAATATGTCTTTATACATAGCAGCTCTTAAGATTTTGGCCTATGTGTCCAAACTCAATTATATTCTCACATTAGTATGCCTACCACTGACCTTACATTTTTATTAACTTTGCGCTAGTGGTGTATTTTAAAGAACAACTGCATTGAAGCACTGCCACGACTAAAGTTCCAAGAAAAATCAGAAGGATTCATTAATTATATGGAAATTTTGACGAAATTACTCGCACTATACCGTCTATCACTAAAGCTCGTAGGGACTTCCTTTCGCGAAAAAGCGACTTATGTTGTTTAAAAGTATTTTGCCGAAACCCGGTTTTAGGTGGAATATTTATTGCCTGACGTTTCGACGTTT